GAGATTTTCAATTTTATGGCCATTTGGATCAAGCCACTAACTTGGATAAGGATACAAGGCAATCTCTGCATGCAGTTGTTGCTCCTTAGATCCTTAGTCACCTTAGGTTTACTGTTCTCCTTATCGCACTATTGCATCAGAAACAACAGTGAAGCACCTTTGCCTCCCCAGCCTTTATTGCTACAGCAACACCTACTAGTGTCGGCAGTCTGTTAGCTGCATTCAAAACCAGACAATTCAGCTCGTAAAGCAAAAAATGCTCTGGGATTCTTAGATTACCAAGGGATTTTAAGCTAAACTAACCGTCACTGCTATTGCTGTCCACAGTTTTCCATGCTTTATAAAAATAAATCATCCTTCTACAGTGACCAAGAGGCAAAAATCTTGGACTATCAGACACAGCAACAGAAGCTACTACCTGTGCTGGCAACAGCCTATGCCTTTCACTTCATGAATGAATATACGAATGAACTCTTCAGCAAAGGATACAGAGAAATCAAGCAGAAAAACTTTGATTCACTGCCTGAGGTACTTTGCAGTAAAAATAATCATTGCTATAATTTGCACCCATCCTGTAATTTTCTTTTCAGGTGCCCTACCAAGGGGGTGGAGCATTGCTACCCCCATCAGAGAGACAAGGGAACTGCAGCACAAAAAGATTAAATACCTTGTCTAAGGCCATGCTGAGAGCCAGTGGCAGAGCAGACGTTACAGTTCAGAACTTTCTGTCCAAGAACAGAAAACGCCATTTGAAAACCCCAGATCACTCGTTCTGGGGCTCAGAATAGAAAAGGGTTTGCCTCAAGCCTCCCTCTTGAGTAAAAAGCCATACATCTTCATGTATATGGCCCAGCATGTTGCTTGGTGGAGCAAACTGCTGAGTACAGCACATTGGTGCCTTGATGAAAGTATCGCCTGCACGCAGCTAGCCACATCCTATCCTTGGCTGCACGAGTGAGAGCTCACAGCGTGCACCATGTATAGAGGTGGCATAAGCCACAAACTCAAGTGGTGACTGGGTTCAGAGAAACAGGCAACATGCAAGTGGATGCAATGATGCTAAATAAACCGTATTAGCAAAAAACACTTTGCTTTTTAGAGGTGTACTGGCCTTAATCAATGCAATATTGCAAAAACCTTCTGGTGCTAATGTTTTCTCCCCTCTGCACAGCTTCATGCATTTTCCTCAGGCCTCAAAGCCATTGTTACTGAGCACAGCACTGCGGGAGTGGAGACCTGTCGCAAGGCATGTGGCGGACATGGTTACTCTCTGCTGAGTGGACTCCCCTCGTTGTATACTAGACTAGCAGCTTCTTGTACATATGAAGGGGAAAACACGGTTCTGCTCCTGCAGACAGCCAGGTAACTACCCCCTATTTGCTTTCTAGAGCATCTTCTCAGACACAGCTAAGATCAGCTTCTTTCCCAGGCTGCCTTTCATCGGTGCACCACAGGCCATGAGCTATTCAGGTCTCCCTCCCAATGGAGGGAGAGAGGGAGGAACGTGATGACTGTTGCTGTTTGAGGGGCTGGGACATGCTGAGATGCTCTGGTGATGCAGGAGGGGGTTGCAGGCACATTGTGCCAGCCCTTCATGACCTCATCATTTGGGAGCAAAGGGCGAACATGCTAAATGTTATGTAGGCAGGGAAAGAGATTTGAATGGGATGCACTGCCTTTTAAGAGACTTGTAAAATAAGCTTAGTTACAAGAAGGCAAACTTGTTCCACTTGCTCTCGGACCTGCCCTGTTCCAATAATGTTGTTTTATCTTGGATATACAGTCTGACAATTAACTACAGCATGTAAAGCCCAGTAAAGGGGCAGCAATAACATCTAACTGAAGTCACAAAGCTGGCACCTACTCATCTAAAATGGAAGGTGCCTAGCACGCATCCCAGGGGGCAGAGGTCCACACGACCACACACATACACATGTACTAACCAGGCTAGTGTTGCCACCAGGAAGGCTAAGAAAGCAAAAGGCTGTAACCTCTTACAACTGCAAAGAGTTGATCCAGGTCACAGCTGAGTCACATCAGTGGGGCAGGGATGTACATCTGCTCTAAGGAAAGGGGACTTCGGTCTCTGGGGTGACGCACACATTCATTTCACAGGCACGCACAAGCTTTTCAGAAAAGGAGAGAGCCACTAAACCCAAACTGGCATTAACATTTCTAACTCTGTGGCACAGAGCATTTTGAAGATGATAATGCAGCTCATTATCACACAGATGGCAGCATAGTAATAGCAACTGCAACATCGGCACTAATAATTCTCATCAAATAACATTTCTGCATTGCTGAATACATCAGAGTCAGCCCTAGTGTGTCAGGGCTCTGTTCACTCTGTGGTGGGTTTAACCAGCAGTACACACAGCAGAAAGGAGAGGGACCGACCTCTTTCCCACCACCCACCAGCAGGAAGAGGCCTGGTATTTTACCGGTGACTCCCAGGGCTTGGAATCATGCCCTGAAGGACACGTTTGGATGCACTTCCCCAGGTTTGCACCTGGGTTCAGCCAACAAGTCCCAACCTCCCTTAGCAGGGGTGGCTGTCTGGGCACACCCCACGCTAGTCAGAGCAGAGACCTGTGCTGATGGTTACCTTGTTCCCAGGTTCCTGGTGAAGTGCCTGGGGGCAGCTCACTCCGGCCAGCCTGTCCCTCCATCCGTTGCCTATTTGTCTGCAGTGAACTCTGAGAGGTGTCTAGTAAGGGACAAGAGGGATTTTCTCCAACCGGATGTTTATGTCGAAGCCTATCGGCACGTTGCCATCAGGTCAGTCGTGGGATGCTGAGGTGTGCAGGCGGGGGGCTTTGCTCAGCATGCCGTTCGAGAGGCCCTGGGACCAATTCCATCCCCACTTACAGTGAAGCCACTCAGTCAGCTGCCTGGGTTAAAGAAAAGACAGAGACATGGCAGTTTAAATTCAGCAATGGTCTGTTTGTGCAGGTAGGATGGTTCTCCCCCCCCTCACAGGTCCTATTAACATTCAGCTTTTCAGTTCACCAAAGCAGGTGGCGAGGGGAAGTGTACATCCGTGGGAAACAATGATCAGCAGCTACTTTCTCAGCAGGGCTAGCCCCTACAGACCAAGAACCACTCGTGTCCTATGGAAACGCAGGTCACCCCATGGAAACTTTGCCCCCGCAGGAGCCTGCTGGGTGCTTTAGCACCAGGCCTTGGTTAGTGTTGCCAACAGAGGGGAAGGCCAGCTGAACCCTGCTGAAGTTTAGCCCAGCACAGATACAGAGCAGCTCCTTGGAGAGGTACACGTGCATAGCAGCAGGGTCTGGCCCCACATGCTGGGGGCCACGTGCCTGAGATCAGCCCTTAATGCTCATTTGCCCTTTTCCACTCATTGCCACCTCTGCCCTCTGGAGAACAGGCTCCAGCTGGGCAGGTTTGGTCTCTAGAATTAAAGCTCTTTGCATTCAGGGGATGGAGAATGCAATGAAGCCCAGAAACATTAAGGTGCATGGGCAGAGCTGTGAACCCTGAACACACATGGCAGATGGTTTGTATATATGTCCAGTGTACAAAAGGATGTTTTCTCCCCTCCAGGGTCCTCAGCAGTGCAGCGGCCAAGCTGCAGGCACTGGTTCAGTCTGGAGCAGAGCAGCACGAGGCATGGCACCAGTGCACAGTGCAGCTGGTACATGCTGCAAAGGCAAGTATATACCCCTGTGCCCTGCGTGCATTAGACTGAGCCAGCATGGTGGCAGGGACTACAGCTAGCTCCAGCAGCGCTCATTCTGCATCCTGGCACTCCCTGGTTGGGCTATGTAGCACCTGGAGCTTAGATCAGGGCACCATTCTGCCAGGCACAGGGGAGGAGGCAACTTCTGCCCCAGGGAGCTTGCAGCTGCAGGGAAACAAGCATGCAGGGAAGAGAAGTGACTTGCCCAGGGCCATGCTGCAGTTAGTGGTAGAGCCTCCCTCTCCCCATTTAAGGCCCAATGGCTGGACTGCTCAGTCACAACCCACCACTCAACTCCACAAGCATTAGCACTGGCAATGGCCATGGTTCCTTTTACACATTGGGGCTAGAATCAGGCTGTTTCAGAGGCCCTGGGTCAGGCTGACCCTGGTGTCTACTAGAGCAGTGGGCAGGGTGAATTGTTTCCTTTTTGCTTTAAGGAACATGGGGCTGTTCAGTGACTGTAGGTAGACATGCAATGAAGTCCTGGCTGCCCTTGCCAGAGAGGGTCCACCAGAGAGTCCACGCCAGCCCCGCCACACACCACAGCCACAGGAAATGAGAAAACTCGACACGTCACGGAGCCTCTAGAAGGCCACAGACAAAAGCAAAGGTGCTGCTGGGTTTGCAAGTTACAACCACATTAAACACACATTAGTCTTGCTTCCTTTTAACCCAAGAGGAAAAGTTAGAAGCTACTCTGACCTGGGCTCCTCCTGACCGGGTCTTCATTGCAGTGACACTCATTTCTCCTGATTGATGAGACACCCCTGCTCCACTTAAGCCTGGGCACAGACCAGTTAACGTGGAGTCTCCCTTGACCCCTCATGCTCAGGGTGCATGAAGGAAACAGGCAGCAGGTCAGATGTTCTCTTCACCAAGAAGCCACAGCTGCCGCGTGTGGTCTGGGGGTCGAAGCTTATGACCACCCATGTGCTTCTGTTTCTGCAAGCACTCAGGAGGGGTGCGCTCTTGTGCTGTGAGCGTGCACAGAACAAATGCTGCATTACCACCTCCCAGGCAAATTCAATTTTACAAGAGCCACTCGCTAACTCCAGTGAGTTGCATTATCTCTCTGCCCTTAAGTTAAGCCCAATTAGCTGCCTGGTGTGCGTGCTGCCTATGCCCTTCTCCTGAAGAGAATGGTAGGCAGCCTCAGTGGAGGCAAGGCCCTCCTCTCATCCCAGTCCCTGCATCGATGCCCAATAAGACGTGTGTCCTGAAGTGCCCCCGTCCCATCCAAGCATGGGACTCAGGACATTTGCGTGCTCTGATGCTTTTGAAAACTGCCCCACATGCTTGAATGCAGACATGACCCTTGCTCCTGCTTCACCTGGCTTGGAGGGCATGCCCTGCTCTGCATTCTCCCTGCACCTCATGCAGGCTTACCTAAGCCAGCTGTGAACTAGTGAACATGGGCACTGCTAGCAGTGGTGCTGTGGGAGCCTGGAGCTCAGTAGGGGCCAGCTGCCTGAGCGTTTACCCACAAATGCTAGTCGTGCAGAGATCTATGCAGGCTAGCTGGAGCGAGGCAGCATGGGTCTATCGGCTCTAGCTGTGAATGCTAGCAGCTGCAGTACAGGCAGCCTGCTGGGGAAGGAAGCAAAACAAGGCACCCAACAGGACTGCAGCCAATAAGCATGCTACAGATAATACAAAAGAGCCACCTGGGAGCAAAGTCACAACCGAGATGCCCCCGCCCACTTTGAACAGGAGCTGGCTGGGGGCTGGGACTCAAACTCCATTCTGCGTCTCCTGGAGTCCATGCTGCCCCGTGAGGCACTGCTACGTCAACCCTAACACACTCCCAGCGGCCCCAGCCAGGACTACTTATTCACAGCGAAGGTCCTCGTGCCTCCTGTCAATCAAGGCATGGCGCCTCTGGGCTCCAAAAGCTTTTTGAAGCCCAGTGGTCAGGCCAAACAGCAGGAGCCAGTTCTGTTCATTTTGGTTCAGCAGGCAGTAGGACAGAGTCAAGTACCAAAAGGAACAAGAGCACCAGGAAAATGCACATTCATCCAGCTCTCTCTGAAGAAAGGCCGAGGCCCCAGGGCTCTGAAAACCTGCAAAGGATGAGTGACAGACTAAGCACAAGGTTCTTTGGGTAAATCCAATATATTTTATTAGACCAGCTCAAATAGTTGGAAAAATTCTTCTTTGCAAGCTTTCAGACACAAACACCCTTCATCAAGCTGAGAAGCCGTCTGCAGATGGCCTGTGCTCTTCCCGGATGGAGTGGTAAAGCAGCCAAAGGCCAGTATGTATGCCTTTAACATACGATCTTTAACAACACAGCTTTGTTGTCCCTGTACCACAGCCATGCTGATTTTCCAGGGGTGAGTACAACAGGATTTTAATGCATTCATGCCATTCAGATGAATTGCTCACTGACGATACTCTGAACATTTGTTCCAAATTGTTATATCATTGCTATAAATATCAGCAGGGTGACTCCAAGTTTCTTCCAGCATGCAGAAATAAAACTTGAATGTAGCTGGCTTGGCCCCCCAAAGAGCAAAGAGCACAGACTGGGAGGAACATTGCCAGTCCAAGTGGACGGTTCTGTAACCTCTGCAGGAACGCTGCAGTCATCCAGTCAGCCTAGCACTTAATGCTGGAGGCCTTCAAGAGGAGGCATTCACAGTCGACTGTAATTGTTTTCTAGGCTCACTGCCACTACCATGTTGTGAAAAGCTTTGCAGAAGCAGTCGAGAAACTTGGACAGGAGGCTGGAATCCAAAGAATAATGAAACATCTCTGTGGGCTCTTCGCATTACACGGCATCTTCTCAAACACGGGTGATTTCCTGCATGATGGCTACATATCTGGGGACCAAGTGGACATGATGACTGCATCCTACTTGGACCTACTTGCTATTGTACGGTGAGCTATCAGAATGGGAGAAAGCAACACATTAGGATTCCCACCCCCATGGGGAAAATGTTAAAAAGAAAACAAGGATGTTTGTACTTCTCCAAGTTCGGTATCTCAACACTGCCAAGGCAAATGCCCCTTCCCCTGCTATTAGAGTTCAGTTTCTAAAATTAAAATATTGCCACCAGCTAAAGGTACACTCCCACGCATATTAAACTCAGCTAAAATGTGTCTGACGAAACATAGGCAGACAAAGTTCTTTGGGTAAATCTGATATCTTTTATTAGACCAACTATATCAGATATAAAAGATACCAGATTTACCCAAAGAACCTTGTCTTTAGACCGACACGGCTACAACCTACACCACTCTGACAAAACATGACACATTTCCACACGCACTCAGGAGAGTCCGTGAATTCTTCTCTGAACAGAGGTATTCTGCTGTAGAAGTCACTGCCCAGCTGGTGTGACACTGGGCTGCTGCCAAGGAACACATGACACAACTCACAAAAATTTAACTGACTATGAAGCCAGGACATTAGGTGACACAGCAAAAACTGCCTCAAGGGCAAAAAGCTCAATTTCTAAAATGTTCGCAATTATGCAGCCTGCTGTGCTGCTCTTAGCACCCAGGGGAGGGAAGAGCCCATGTTCAGGGCACAGGCTTGGGAGATATAATGTGCCATGTTAGTTTTGAGTAGAAGCCAGGGTAGCCACCTTACAGACTAACCAAAGTTAAGATATACACAGCCCAAGCTTTTGTGGGCTGAAGCTGACTTCATCGGACACTGTGAAAAGATGTGCAGGACTTCCCAGTCAGGCAGGTGGGGCACAGGCACCCTCCAGCATCCCCTTGGTTTAAACAACTCAACCGCATTCATTAAGGATGCTTATGAGGCTGAAAACTGCTTTCTGGAGAAGGTCAGAGACAATGGAAGTACCTACATTGTGCAAAGCCTGCAGCACCAGCTGCTAGGCCTGCTGAGCAAACCGATACACGCCAGCCCTTCAGTCCTAATGCAGGGAATAGTCCAGAGACACCAAGCACTGCGCAGCCTGCCTCTGAGGAAAAGGAGTAGGGCTTGGCCCATAACGAGCCCCTAGAAGAGAAACACTAGTGCAAAGCAGCTGGTGAGTTGGGGACTAAGGAAATTAACTCCCTAGTAAATTTGGCAGCTGTTTCACACATCCATGGGCAGTGCAAAGCAATGACTTTGTTAATGGTGTAACAAGCACAGCTCCTCTGCTCCTCCAGGAAAGACGCTGTCCCACTAGTGGACGCTTTCGACTTCACGGATGAGACCTTGAACTCTGCGCTGGGCAGCTACGATGGACATGTCTACCAGCGGCTCTACCAGTGGGCTCGGAAGTCACCGTCTAACACAAAGGTAAGGGCCAGGGGCAAACAAATCTCCCCAGTTTGCATTCATCAGGGCAAACCAACTTTGCTGTCTGTCCTTTGGGCTTGTACTATGTAAACCAGAGAAACGTAAGTGGGGTGACAGCCTTGAGTCCGGAGAGGAGTAGGGTAACCTCCTCCTCCCCTCCCCAATTCATAGCCTAGGAAGGAGCTGCACCAGCTGCAGCCAGGGCTCAGAAAAGGGCATCTTGGACTCTGGTGTTGCAATGAACACCATGCAGTGGGGCACCACACAAGCACAGAGAGCTGCACAGGGGAGTCACCTGCCCTCTTCCTTGTGCAGAAGCCCTGGGAACAGCAGGGTCTGGCCCTGGGGCAGCGGTAGGAAACCTATCTGCAGATACGTTCAGACTGGCCACCATGCATTTGTTCCATCAATTCAGTGCTTGTGGACAGGCTGGCCTGCCACTGCAGCAGGTTCTGCTGATCTACAGAGCAGTGCAGCCACCATGCACCTCCTCACACACTGCCGATTTGCCACTTCTAGACGGAGTGGCTTCTGAGGGAGGCAAAATGCCCTGTGTGCGCTGTTTCACCACTGGGCAGTCTCAGCTACCAGAACACAAAGATACACACAAAAACAACCCCTGTGCACACACTTTAGCACTACAGGAAAAGTAGCTGATTAAAACAGCCTGCAGTAGCAGCATCTGCTTTCTGCACAAGTACCTTTATCAGCATACCACTCATCAATAAATATCTTCTTGCGGTACATTTAACAGTAGGAGCAGACTGCAAACAAAACAGGTTCATGCCTCACTGCCTTCACTTCTTATACTGCATTAGAGGTGAATTAACTGTTTTACCACACAGTTTTACGTTATTATCCAATTTGAAAACCAGCCATCATGTATTCAAACAACTGAATGCAAGATATGAAATTGGCCTTGGGCAAGTACTCAGAATAAAAGTATGCTTTTTGAAAATAGCTTGGGGACTAGTCTGGGTGACTGGTAGCTTGTAGTTAGTTACATAATGGGAACACTGGGGAGCAAGGCCTTAAGAGCTTGCTGTGACCCATTAAAAATATTCTCTAGCTCCTGCACCAAGAAGATCACTCAGAACTACTGAGAAAATCATTGTGCTGTCCTGGTCCTTAAGTCCCTGTTAATGTCTGTCTTTCTCCATTCTCCCTTTCCAGCAGGCAAACCAAGCCTATGAAAATTATCTGAAGCCACTTTTTCAGAATGGTCTGTCCAAACTGTGAAGATTATAAACTACTCAGCACAGACAGCATCTTCTTCTGTTCCTTCTTATATGGTGGAAGATTGCACTAGCAAGAGCAGTAACAGACCACTCACTTCTACTTGCCGCAACTATCAGATTTTTTTTAGCTACTTGCTTGCATCTAAGAAAGGGATACCTCTTCCAGCTGTGTCTACTATTAGGTGGAATTCCACTGCAATCCTAGTCTTTTTTTTGTGTCTTCAATAGGGTTAGAGGTTGAAATATTTAGCGCTCTTGTTCTGTTAGTATATTCAGGTTAAAAGAATTTATTTGCTTAAGATGCTGGCTGGACCATTATTTTGTTTAGCCCGTAAGATGCCATATACAGAATTAAGGAACTGAACTTTTCAAAAGGCCAAAGGTTTCTGATGCCTACACAGTCAGATGGATTGCAGACTGGCTCAAGGGTCACACTCAGAGAGTGGTGGTGGATGGGTCATATTCGACCTGGGGACAAGTGGGCAGCAGAGTCCCCCAGGGCTCGGTCCTTGGGCCTGCGCTGTTCAATTTGTTCATCAGCGATTTGGA